TTTGAGAAGAAGATGTAACTCTCCAGCCAGACATTAGAAGTTGTGTGAGTGGATGAAAGTGTCTGAGCTGATGGTGTGGTGCATGACCAACCCTTACCATGCCTGTGTCGGAGTTAACACTGTGCCAGTAGCATATTAATGTCGTCGATACAAGATAGGTTAACTGCATTTAAGAACTAGACTGCAGGGTTATTTAGATGTGTTTTGACCCAAATATTTGTGTAGCAGAACAGAACCATTGACAAAACAGAGATATAGTGATCGGGTAGGGATAATTGGGTGCTAGCTGAATTTGACCTATACTGCCTTCTGTTCGTACGTCATGCTAGTAACCCTAACCCTAACCCTAACTCTAACCCTAACTCTAACTCTAACTCTAACTCTAACTCTTACTCTAACCCTAACTCTAACTCTAACTCTAACTCTAACTCTAACCCTATAACCATAACACTAACACTAACCTGAACATTAACCTAATAAGTGTAATCGTAAATATAACTAAACGAACTTAACCGCATGTTTAGCAGTCGTGGGTCCAATTCACTGTGCTTCTACGGGGCGCCATGCAGGACAGGCATTTTTGTACCTATAAACTTGACAAAAATGAGTTTTGTGAACACAAAACTCAATTCTGTCAATCCTGTCCCACAAAACTCAATTTTGTGAACACAAAACTCAATTCTGTCAATCCTGTCCCACAAAACTCAATTTTGTGAACACAAAACTCAATTCTGTCAATCCTGTACCACAAAACTCAATTTTGTAAACACAAAACTCAATTCTGTCAATCCGGTTCCACAAAACTCAATTCTGTCAATCCTGTTCCACAAAACTCAATTTTGTGAACACAAAACTCAATTCTGTCAATCCTGTCCCACAAAACTCAATTTTGTGAACACAAAACTCAATTCTGTCAATCCTGTCCCACAAAACTCAATTTTGTGAGCACAAAACTCAATTCTGTCAATCCTGTCCCACAAAACTCAATTTTGTGAGCACAAAACTCAATTCTGTCAATCCTGTTCCAC